CTTTCCAGAATGAGTTTGCAAATGTTGTTTTAGGTCTCTTTGATGTGTGAAAAACTTCTTACACTGAAGACATGCAAAAGCCTTCCCTCCAGTGTGAGTTTTCATGTGGACATTAAGGGTTGGTCTGTGAGTAAAACTCTTTCCACACTGAGGGCAGGTGTAAGGCTTTTCTCCAGTGTGAGTTCTCATGTGGCTTTTAAGGCTTCCTTTTCGATAAAAACTCTTTCCACACTCTTGACAGGTGTAGAGACTCTCTCCAGTGTGAATTCTCATGTGGACTGTAAGGTTTCCTTTTCGGCTGAAACGTATTCCACACAGTTTGCAGGTGTAAGGCTTCTCTCCAGTGTGAGTTTTCATGTGTGCATTAAGGGTTGGCCTATGTGAAAAACTCTTTCCACATTGAGGGCACGTGTAAGGCTTCTCTCCAGTGTGAATTCTCATGTGGCTCCTAAGACTTCCTTTTCGGATGAAACTATTTCCACACTCTTGACAGGCAAAAGGCTTCTCTCCAGTGTGAATTCTCATGTGGACTTTAAGGCTTCCTTTTTCAGTGAAACTTATTCCACACTGTTGGCAGGTGTTGGGCTTCTCTCCAGTTTGAGTTCTCATGTGAACCTCAAGATTTCCTTGTTGGTCAAAAGTCTTTCCATACTGAAAGCAGGTGAAATTACTTCTAATTGGCATCTTTTCTGTCTGTGAGCAGCTAATAGATATTTTTTCAGTTTTACAATCATGATGTTCTTCAAAATGATCTTTCACTTCCATCCCATTCAGTCCTTGACTCTCCTCTTTTAGCTCCATCCGGTCTAATGTGAACAGAGACAAATACAAGTTAGCCTCTGTTTAACGTCGCAAAGCAACGGACATCAAAACATTTAGGGAGTTTTTTAACTGGAAAAAGTGAAAATGGAGTCCGTGTTGCATTCACATTCACGCAAATTGCGTGAATTTTTCAGAGTTCAGCGGCACAGTTCGAGTGCAACTGAAATCAGACCACCTGATTTAGGTAGTCTCAGGTTTGGTAACATTGTGCGCTTCCAGGTCCGCATGACAGCGTACACATTAGTGATTTTTTTTAAGCGAACTCTGCCCCGTTCTGAACTAAACTGCCAGTGTAGACATTTAAAGCATCAAAACCAACAACATGTATGCCAGATCCTATACCCTCTGTAAAAGATATTTCCTGTAGTTAAACATGTAATATCATTCATATCATAATTTGTTATAAACTCTAAGTCTCTAAGTCACAACAATGTTTTCTATTCAGTGGTAGAAATTTGGGGATTAATATTACTCAAAATGATTGTTTTGTTTAGGCTACTTCTGCATTATTTTTCCTAATTAAATGTGTGACATGTTGTAATATCAAATAGCCGATTTGGAAGTAGGATCTTCTCATGTGACAGGCAAACAGGGCACACATGCACTCAATATATCTGTCCACTCAAGGCGACCCACTTCATGTCAAAAGCACTTTAATCAGGACACTCATCTGACATTCTTCAAAAAATATTATTAATTTCCGTAGAGTTGACATTTTAATAAGTATTAAATGCTTTGAGAATGAAACAAACCTGTTTGTTCCTCAGTTTCTTCTTGTTTCACATTTAATGTTTCTTCAATCTTCATGTCTTCAATCTCCTCTTTAATAAACGCCATCTTTATAATAGTGTCAAGAGGATCTCAGTCGCTTCACCAGGAGTTTTTCTGTGTGTTTGGACACTCTGTCATGATTAATATGAGAATAATTAACAGAAAGAAAAGTACATACAAACTATGTAAATCTCTGTGTGTGTCTCAGTTAGCTCTAGTTAAGTAGTTCAGTGAACTGGTAAGAGTTAATGGCCCAAATCACCTGATAAGCCAAAAACAAAACATTAAAAAAAAAAAAAACAATCAAAGCAAGTTAATAAAAAAATATTAAAATTATATTATACTATAAATTATTATACTTTTATATTTAGGTTTTTATGATTTATAATCGGTATCCAATCATTTGTATTTATAATATACAATATTAAAAAAACGTTTGCAGTTTGTTAAAGTTGTAATTAAACACGTTTGTCTTCTCGTTGCATTTACAGTGTTTTGACCAGCATGTGACGTCAGCGTACGGCGATTCGAATCAATGAATCATTTTGCGAAGCAGTTCAATTGACTCGGAGTTTCAAATATTTGTTTCTCCATCACTCTTAGCCAGTGACCGGTACGTGTTTATGATAAACTGATTAATGATAGAGCGCGAAATGAGACGCACCTTTTCTGTTACTCTGTGGATGTACTTTATTAACAAAATAACCTTTATTAATGATATCAAGTATTACAATTGTATATTTAATTATTTTAAAATCGTTTGTTAAATATCTAAAATAGACAGAACATTTGCATCCATTAAACGCTTAAAAACACAAACCTGTCTTCAGCCGAATCACAACAGCGCAGCGCAGCTTGATGACGTCACACAGGCACAGCAAAATAAAAGTTCTCTCCACACTTTGCTGTCTAAAATCATAAAAGTGCATCGAAATGTACAAAAATACACTCAAGTAATACAGGTATACATATTTGAGTCTTTGTGAAATACATATTTAAAAACATGTTGAATCGTGATGAAAATAATGTGAACAAGCACATCTAAAATGTGAGATTCTAAAACCACAGTATGTGTGTACTGTATATGTGTCAAGTTTGAGAGCAAAAGTCCTGTTTATCAGTTTATGAAACATTTTTTTTTCTTAATTTTTTGATTGATGCACAGTTCCCAAAAGAGCCATATCAACAACTATTTGACTACGTCAGAGACTAGTTTAAAACCAATCCTGAGCAGTTTTTAATGTTTCAGGATTAGTTTAAATCAGTTAAATCTTACATGAACAAACCAAAAGAAGTGAGACAGACTAAATACTGCAGCAACGTCTCCAAAACACAAAGCATGCACACTTTACTGGACAGAGGGTTTTTTAAACAGATAAAGCATGGAATGATAATTCTAAATAAACAATGTACACATGAATAGTTCTGTACCTCGATCTCAAGATGTGTTTTTTTTTTCATAACACATACACATTTAAATTCTTTATTTGAATTAGAAGATAAGCCTATATCATGGCATAATCCAAATTTGACAAAAAAAGTGTACAACAGCAGCCAATATCTCAGTCCATTATGCACATCTAAGGGCAAAGGTGGCACCTACGCCTCCATATGTAGAGGCTACCAATTACTGCGGATACAGAGCAATATCTTGTCAGTTTTTTGGCCTTGTTTTTATATAGTCCGCAGATCTGCAGGCCTCTTACACACAACTTGTGCACATGGCCTAAACTACCAAAAATGAGGGAAATAACTTTACAAGAGTAGCCAAAGTTATTGAAGACATTGTACCATGGTTGATATTTCAACAATTTTGAAGCATAACAGGTGTCCATTTAAGCTTCGAAAGAGCAAGCAATTTCTATTATTGTAACGGCTTTGTTGTGTTCATTAATTACAACGATGTCAGGTGTGTTTGGAAAGTGATTTATGGCAGTTTCAAATGTAGTGCACTGTTCGTGTGGAAAGGAGAACCAGTCTATCTTGATCTTTTTGTTACAATGAATTGTAGTAATGTTGACATTGTCTCTGAGTTCCTTCGCTAAATGTCCAACAATGCGGTCATGGCGTGCAATATACAGTCCTTTGTAGGCAGAGCAACCATTAAGGATATGCGCGATCGTCTCTCTTCGCCGGCTCTGATGTTGTAGGAAAAACGGCTCGTGTGCACATGGAAACCATGTTGCTAAGTTGGACTTTGTTGGTAGTACCTGAAGACGATCTGTGGATGTCATCTTGTAGGGCTGTGTTTTTCAGAACTGTGTGTGAGACGTTATGGTCAGCACAGTGCAGGCAGGCCAGTTGTCCTTGTTGGCGTAAGCCTGTCCAGTGCTGTATCATACACAAATGGAAGTGATCGATTATTGTCCTTCTGATATTTTGAGTGTCTAGGAGTTGAATGTTGTCGCCAGTTACAATGAGTGCCATGATGGTTGAATCCGTGACAATGTTCTTATTGACTTCCACCGACTGTCCTGCTATGTTCCTCCAGCGCAGTTGGATATTTGCGTGGTTGCAGAGGTCATTCAGGTCCAGCCTGTCCGAGCGCACGCCAAAGCCTGGTGTGTTGGTGTCCAATTTTTCATTGGATTTTCTTCTGAACCCGAGGAAGCTGGCGTCATCTGATGTAGAGAGGGGGACCTTGCGTTTCCCCAGATGTAGTAGAAGTGAGGCTCGGGCGAGCTCACGCACGGCTGCGTCATCATTATTTAACATCCTTAACAGGTTGCTTATTCTGCTGGAAACATACACCCACTCTATGTGAGGGACGCCCAGCCCTCTCTCTCTCTAGACCTGTGAAACACATCTCTTGTCGAGTGTGTATTTAGTCCCATCCAGCATCTTACCAGGCCTACAGTCTTATCGACAGTCTGATCGATCTCAAGATGTGTTTTATATATATATATATATATATATAATTAAATATTAAAAAATATTTGCAGTATAAATGTAATACATTACCCCTCTGCTAATATGTTCACATGCCAACTGTCCCGATTAAATAGACTGCTACTGATCTAACCATTGACTACACCAGCAACACGACATTTGAGAATGATCACGACACCGGTCATAATCCATCACAGCCCAAACGCGCATCAGACCATACAAACTCAACATCCAGCCACGCAAGAAAACATTGAATATTACCAAGGTAATAAAATGCTGATGTGATTTGCTGCCCAAGAAACATTTCTGATTATTGTTAATGTTTTCTTTTTAAAAAGTCAGGATTCCTTGATGAATAGAAGCAAAACAAATGTTTAAACTTTTGTTTAAAAAAAGAAAATTTTAAACGCATACTAACCTGAAATGACATATACTGTTTGATACAGTACAAATATTTTGAGTGTCTCTTATTTTCCAGTAAAGAACAACACTTGTCCCACATTTTTCTCTGAAGTTGGCAACCCTATTCACAAGTTGCAGATAACCATCAGCCACGACCAGTTGTAGCAATAAAATACATGTTCTTACAGGTATTCAAGATTATTTTATTAATCATCTGGCATGCGATGAGCTTCAGAACCTAAATTACAGGGCATTGATTGAAGGTCAGAATTACACGAGCAGATACTGCATACCATCGCAGATGATTCTTTAGCTTGGTCATCTTTAAATCAAAGGAGAAAACTACACATGCACTTATTTATTGTAAAAGCACTTTTAGGTAAGTTACCTTCCTACATATCAAATCTTTTAATTTATCACACAAATACCTACCAAACTAGGTCTGGCTCTCATCTCCGGCTAAAAGTCCCAAGGGCTCGGTCAGAATTTGGTAAAAGTGCTTTTTCTTTTTACGCCCCTTGGAGTTGGAATGATTTACAAAATGTATTGAATCTAGATGCACTCCCAACTCTGACGTCCTTTAAACGTCTCCTGCCCAATGTTTTAAAGGACAAGTGCAATTGTTTTTCTTAACTCGTTTTTATCCATGTTGTTTGTGATGTGTAAATTGTGGTATTTTATTCTGTGATTTTGTGTATGAAACTTCTTGTGCTGCCGTCTTGACCAGGTCTCTCTGGAAGAAGAGATAGTAATATCTCAATGTGACTTTCCTGGTTAAAATAAAGGAAAATAAATAAAAAATAAAATGAGCTTATCACATTAAAAGGTGTCGTGAGGTTTTCACAGGCAGTGAACTCGTACCATAATGTGTCAGTAACAATACAGAGAAAATTGTTAAAACAGCCATTCACACAAAACGCTCTTCCCAGCATCACTGGACATATGTAAAAAATAACTAAATAAAAACATCTAACATCTGCTATAGCCGCCTACGAGAATAACACGCTACTTCCGCAGCAGCAAGGCCCGCAGTAATGGTGGCGCTGCTTTACTTTCGTGTTTCGCCGGATTTGTGTATTCACAGACACAAAAAAACTTAAATAGGGTGGTCTCACCTCTGACTGACCTTATCTGTTAGCGTGATGACAAATATTTACACGATATTATCACAAGTGGACTCCCTCTAGATTGAATCTGCAGATGATTTTTAGAAATTGTTCAGTTTATTTTTTAGTTTGTTCAGTTTATCTCATCACACTGAGCAACACAGCAATTTCTTTCAAGTATGATATTGCAAGTGACGTTTAAGCTCTGTGTGATAAGTGAAACTCTTCTCGCACTGAAGACATGTGAAAGGCTTCTCTCCAGTGTGAAGCCTCATGTGAGTCTTTAGGTTTGCTTTAACTGTAAAACTCTTTCCACATTGAGGACAAGTGAAAGGTTTCTCTCCAGTGTGAACTCTCATGTGAGTCTTTAGGTTTCCTTCAACTGTGAAGCTCATTCCACACTGAGGGCAGGTGAAAGGCTTTTCTCCAGTGTGAACTCTCATGTGAATCTTGAGGATTGCTTTGCTTGAGCAAGTCTTTCCACAATGATGGCACATGACACAAGGCTTCTCTCCAATGTGAGTTCTTACATGATTCTTAAGGTGATTGCTGTCTGTGAAACTACTTCCACACTGATGACATATAAAACAGTCCTCTATTGAGTGAATCCTCATGTGGCAATCAAGGTTTACTTTACGTCTGAACCTCTTTCCACACTGATCACAGGAAAAAGGCTTCTCTCCAGTGTGAATTCTCATGTGGTCATTAAGAGACCCTTGATGTGTAAAACTATTTCCACACTGAGAGCACACATAAGGCTTCTCTCCAGTGTGAATTCTCATGTGGACTTTAATTGTTGATTTATGTGTAAAACTCTTTCCACACTGAGGGCAGGTGTAAGGACTCTCCCCAGAGTGAACTCTCATGTGGATTTTAAAACTTCCTTTTCCAGTGAAGCTCTTTTCACACTGAGGGCATCTGTAAGGCTTCTCTCCAGTGTGAATTTGCATGTGTTTTTTAAGGTTTCCTTTTTCAGTAAAACCTTTTCCACACTGTTGGCAGGTGTAAGGCTTCTCTCCATTGTGTATTCTCATGTGGACTTTAAGGTTTCCATGATGATTGAAACTCTTTCCACACTGAGCGCAGGTGAAATGACTTCTAGTTCCAGTCTTTTGAGCTCTTTTTTGAGAGGAAGTCTTTTCAGTCTGGGAGCAACTCAAAAAATCGTCTCCAGTTATAAAATCATGACGTTTCTCTTCCTTTACATCACTCAGTTCTTGACTCTCCTCTTTCAGAGGCATCAGGTCTAAGATGGAAAAAAGATAAATACAATTTTAACCACATGTTAATGCCACAAAGCAGTAGACATCAAAACATTCAGACCAATACTGCCCTTACTATAGCAAAAGACCTTAAAGCGATACTCCACCGTTTTTTCCACAGCAAGTGCTTGGGAGCACTTCGACTCGGCGCATATTTATCTATGGACTTATCATCACTTTGGAGAGTGAGAGGGGGTAGAGGACTTTTCACGAGTGATGATTTTACTGCGCCAAGTCAAAGTGCTCCCAAGCACTTGCTGTGGTATTCCGCCATACAATATAGTTATCCATTTTACATGCTTAGAAAAGCGCAACATTTCATTTTGTGTCACCATCCTAGGTCGAGTTACACTGCTCGAGTAACTGTATTTAAATGTGTTAAAAACGTGGAGGTGTTTGGTTGCTTTTCTGCTTGGCCCATATTGAATGAACTGGGCTAGTTAAGTGCAATCAAAGTGTCTGAGCAAAGCGCGCCAAAACAATTGAGTGCACACACTGAGACGAAAGAGGTATATATCAACTGGAACTGAGAAAAATGACTTTTTAATTGACCCAAATTAATTATAGGTAGGACACTGCAAATCTGGCAATTCAACATGACATCATGACTTTTGCGTAAACATACACGCCACTTTGGAGGTGGCATGTTATCTCTACGCATTTTGAGCTATCCGCGTGTATGCGTGTATGTCTACGTCATTAACGTCCGCGTCATTCCGCGTGTCCGTACACGCAGTCAAATCTCCAGTCATAAATGCCATTAACCCCAGTGACTGTTAAGTTTAGGGATGGGGTTGAGGTAAGTCATATCTTTTTTTTTACCTAGGATGGTAAGGGAACAGTCATAAATGCCATTAACCCCAGTGACGGTTAAGTTTAGGGACGGGGTTGAGGCAAGTCTTATATTTATATAACGTTAAGTCAACGGCGTTCATAAACACGCTGAATTATGCGTCTTGATAGCACGCCAAAAATGGAAATACGAATTGGCGTGGCATACACACGCTACTTAATGAGATCAGTCTGGGCAATTAGATGTTTAAGTAATGAAAATTATCTGCATAAAAATATTGAGCTCTAACTTTAGAATAGTGGTCAAGAGTCAAGTTTCTGTACTCTGTTTGTATTGTCAGCAAAAAGTGATAAGTCATGCCTAGGCAAAAGGCAGTAACTTCCACATTATCAATATTTGGTTGCCATTAACAAAATCATTATAGTAACACCTGTATAAAATACAAACTAGACTCCCCATAGACTTCAATACAAAATAATGGCAAAAACCAACGTCCGTACACAGCCGACAAGTGTAAATAACTTAAGAAATCACTTATATAAAACATGTCAAGTAATTATATGTCTACCCTGCCTGCCATAGAGCATGAAAGATATGTTTTTTTATGCCCATAATCAACTAGCCCAGGCCATCATCATCATAAATTCATAATATATACATTAAGGTTTTGTACTTTAAAAAACGAAATAAAATCATTCAGGGGCTTACCTGGTGACTCAATGAGGTACAATGTCCGGGTAAGACACCTCTGGCCACTGGGTGGGGTTGTTACACCAATTTGACGCTGGTAGAATAAAGGGACGCGTTTTTAAATTGGCCAAATTAAGTTTGTGTATGTATCTTTCACGCTCTATGGCAGGCAGGGTGGACATATAATTACTTGACATGTTTTATACAAGTGATTTCTTAAGTTATTTACGCCTGTCGGCTGTGTATGGACGTTGTTTTTTGCTGTTATTTTGTATTGAAGTCTATGGGGAGTCAAGTTTGTTTTCCCCCAAAAGTGGGTGTGAACCTATTCAGAGACATGACGCAACGCCGGTTGTACGTTATATTAAAAGACTGAAGTTGTCTTTAGCTACCCACAAGTTTCCGAGGGGCGCTCCTGTAAAAAATAAAGTGGGTGAAACTTCCGTTGAGGCGGCGGAAGTAGCATTCCAATGGTATTTTGTGTGTTAGTTAGCAAAGAGGCTAGCTGTTTTTCAGAGAATTATTTTACTATTTAAAGACGCAAATCTTTATGAGAGATGTCGTTACGGAGCTCAGGGACAACATGTGGTGTTCGCGGTTGTATGTATAACCGGACTAAACTAGTTCAGTGGCTTAAACGTGATTGTTTTGAACATAAGCTGAAAACGAAATCAGAGTGATCCTGCCAGAGCCCGTCTCTGATCCTGCCAACGACTGTAGTTTCCATCACCTCACAAAAGACGACGAATCTTCCTGACTACATTTGTTTAAATTCTTAATATTCTATAAACTCTCTCAGCATGTGATTGGCTGTTCTCTACTGATGTTACAGCTAAACTCAGGATCAAAGCCTGTGTTGACAGAATACCAAATGTGTCAGTTAATGTATTCAAGCAGCACATTCATTTATAATTTTGAATAAACTCCAAAGCACAATGACTAAGTGTGTGTATTTTTTTATTTTAATTGTTTGTCAGCTCGCACAACTGTCTGTCACCATACCTTGATGAGTATTGATTATTAATAATGTTATTATAATACTCCCAATCAACTACTGCGGAGGGTAAAGGTACTGTTATTTCACCCTTTTGAATTTCGTTGAGGTTGTGTTCCCACATCGTTAGCTAGTTTGGATCGCTATAACTTGAATGACTGTCAACTGTTGAATGAACGAGTGTCAAGCATGTCAAATCGCGCTTTGTTTACTTCCAACCGGAAGTCGCGCCCACTTTTGACGCAAGGCCTCATGGGGCGTAGGAAACTTGTGGATAGACCATTTCACAAGATGTAAACAACACTGGTCCAGAAGCACTTCCTGTTTCAGTATGTAACTGTTTTCTTTATTTCACATGTAAAGAAACCATCTTAAAGACGTTAAAACATCTTAAAGTTTGTTTAACATTTTGATTCAGTTTTAAATATTCTGTTGGTTGTATTTTATCCCAGCTTTTATGTAGTGTTAAAAAACTGAAACAGGAAGTGCTTCTGGACCAGTGTTGTTTACATCTTGTGAAATGGTCTATAGGTCCATGGCGTTTATAGTTTGTAAACATTTCACTGTATTCACCAGTATTTTACATTAACGTAATAAAATAAAAATTCTCAAAAGCTCAATTTTTCGTGTAGCATATTTTTTAAGCCATGTAGCAAACATTTTCCACATTTCTTGAAAAATTACTTAATTACTTTTTAAACTGTTTAACCGATAGTATTAATCAGTCAAAAGTTTTACTATCGGTTAATGGTTATGAACATCCCTACTGTCCACATGACACAACCTGCTTTAAGTTAAAAATTAAAAAACGCTTCAATCAGGACACTCATATGGCATTCTTCAAAATCATCATTTCTGTAGAGCTGAATTCAGCTTTGAGAATGAAACCAACCTGTTTGTGTCTCAGTATTTTCTTGTTTCACACTGAATGTTTCTTCAATCTTCATGTCTTCAATCTCCTCTTTAATAAATGCCATCTTTATAATATAGTGTCTTGTGAATTTCAGTCACTTCACCAGGAGTTTTTCTGTGTTTTTGGACACTCTGTCATAAATTAAGATTACATCACTACGAAGTAACTGAATTCGAGTTTACGATAAATCGATTCACCATATAAGCGGTGAAATGAGACGCATCTTTTCTGTTACTCATACGTGGATGCGCTTTACTGACAATAACGTTCATTAATGTTAGATACGGCATCACAATGTTACATTCGATAATAAATTATTAATTTTAAATGGCTTGTAAAAGCTATAAAGCCGATTGAACAGTTTGTATCATTAAAATACTTAAATTGCTAAAAACACAAACAGCAGAGTCTCAATAGATTTAGAAGCAAGACGCAACCTTATGACGTCATATCACAAAATCAAAATAAAAGTCATATCCAGACGTGAACAATGATGTGCTTAAAATATTAAGGGAGGGGAAGGGTACTCTTGTTTACACATAAAAGTCAGTGCCTTTTTCTATTATTAAAATGTGGATAAAATAAATCAGTTTGAACCTGTCGTTTACATGACAATGATATGAAAAGTTTTTTTTCTTAAAAGGAAAAGTTTTTTTTAAAGGAAAGGTTTTTTCTTTGTACAAATGGCAATGTTATAAAAAATATACCTATACGTGAAAAGACTAATAATGCTGTATTATGTATGCCAGACAAGTAGTTGCAATGTCATTTTGTAAAAAAAAACTCATATGCCTATGGGCTCTATGCACGGCGATATATTGAAGCATTAGGGATGCTCGATAACTTCCGCCGATCGTAGAGTCCAATGCAATACCGAGAATTTATATAGAAACGTTAGTCACAAAAACAGATAAAACAGACACCCCTCGTTGTGTTTATGCTTCTTTTTAAAATTATATTAAGTAAACATAACTATATATAAAATTACATCTAAACGTATGTACGTTTCGTTTCAATGACAGGAGGGCAGTAAATTTTGAAGACTCTGCCATAATCCCGTTTTCCTCGGTTCTCCTCCGCTTAAATCTCCACAACCGGAAATGGACGAGCATCCTTGCGTCAAATGCGGAACTTATGCGTGCATATAGCCCATAGACATATGCTTAATGTATCATATTTTTTGAAACATATTTTTATACAATTTTCAGTCTAAGGATGTTAATTAATACACTATTATTACTTTGTCTTCTGGGTAAATCTTCACAAAGCCAGAACCATTCACTGTTATCGCATTTTAAAGTCCCCGTGAAATCAAAATTGAACCTATTTACTTTGTTAGCGCATATTACTAGTCTTGTGGTGAACAATTAATCTGTGCAAGTGAATATATATTAAAAAAATGTTTTACCCTAGTAATCTTTAATCAAAATCTGAAAAGGGGGGGTCAGTTATATAACATAGAATTGTATGACCCAGACAAAGATGACCACCAGCAGGCCTCAGTCTTACCAAACCTGAAATCACAGGGGTTCTCAAAGACTGGAGAAATAATTTTATGTAAATTAATGTAAAATCAATGTCACACATGCATCCAAAATACTCCACACACCACACAATACACAGTAAAATATACCCCACCACATGGAACCCACAACTAGGGGTGTAAATCGATAGGCCTATTTATTACTTAAAAAGATTTTCAACACTGTCCTATGAAGAAAAAAGAGCTGTGTGAAACTAACACCTGCCCTACAGGATCTTACCCAACAGAAGGGACAAAAATAACAAAAACCTTTCAAAATGAGTGGTATCAAAAGAAGCAATGGCTGTGTGGCTGCAACCAGACAAACAAACTTTTTTGTTTTCCATGCCTTCTGTTCTCCAGCACCGACAGTGTGTGGGTAAAAGCGGGATATAGTGACCTTAACAATTTACCAAGAGCTCTGGTGAAGCATGAAAAATATACGGCCCACGTCCACTCTCAGATCGCCATGAAAACTTTCGGCAAAAGTCATATTGACTTGGCCCTGGATGAGCAGCGCAGGCTCCAAATAAGCACGCACAATTCAAAGGAAAAAGGAAAACAGGGAGCTATTAAAAAGCCTCATAAATATTACATACTACCCTGCCAAACAAGAGCTGGCTTTTCGAGGAAACGATGAGAGCATTACCTCTGTCAATCAAGGAAATAACGTTGAATTGTTAAATGTGTTGGCAGAAAAAGATGGCAAGTCAGCTGGACACTTAAGCTCCTCAAATGTGTTTACCGGCTCATCAAATCGGATTCAGAATGACTTAATTGAAGCCACTGCTGAGGTTATCAGAGGCCAGATAAAAAATTACATTCAAGCAAACATCCTTTGTTGCAGTGGAAGTGGATGAGACCACGCAAGTGAAGTAAAAGAAGCAGGGTAACAATAAAATAGTAGAATTCGTCAAAAAGGCCCACAACCCAAACAAAAGAAAATAATAATAAAGTGTTATGATTAGCTGAAAAAAAATAAATCATTCAAGAGGTATTTTCCATCAGAGAGACCCAAGGCCAAAAAAACATAACAAAATTATACAGAAATGTAACTAACTATCATAAAGAAAACATAATAAACTTTACCTAACTACTCATAAAACATGTTGATATAGATCAGGTTAATATTTAGCTAAATGATTTGCATGTGAACTCGTCCGTGTGAACTCGACTTTTATTTTGGTCTGGAAATGTGATGTCATAAGTCTGCGCCGCGAACCTGCATATGTTGTGATTCGACTGAAGAAAGGTTAGTGGTTTTAAGCATTTAAGTTGTTTAAATCAATTTTAAATGTTTAGTCAAGTTTATAGTTTTTATACGTGATGCACAACGTTTATGTATTATTTAATGTAACATTCTAATGCTTGATTTAACGTTATTGATTCGAGATGTTTTTTGCGAGTAAAGTGCGTTCACACATGATTCACGAGTAACATAAAATGTGCGTCTCATTTCTCTCTTTATGTAGTGTATGAGTACATCATAAACACGAATTTAGTTACTGGCAAAGACTAGTGATGAAGAAACTGAGTTTTTTGAAACTCCGACTCATTTGAACCAAATGATTCACTGATTCGAATCGCTCGAATGGCCGCGCGCTGTCGAGTCTGCTGGTCAAAACCAAACAGTGTAAAACGAGAAAACAAACACGGTGTGTAATGACAACTTTAACAAACAAACTGCAAACGTTTTTCTTTAAGTGTAATCTACAATTAAATACTAAATGTAAATGGCATACTATATATATTTTGTTCTTTTATTAATTTGCAACACTGAGTGTTTTTTGTTGTTTGACTAATCAGGCCATTAACCATCACTCTGCCTGCTAAACTAGGGAGCTGATTGAGACAAACACAGATATTTAGTTTGGATGTTACGTTTTGTCAATTGTTCTCATTGTTAAACATGACAATATGTCCAAATACACAGAAAAACTCCTGTTGAAGCAACTGAGATCCACTTCAGATGGCGTTTATTAAAGAGGAGAGTGGTGAAATGAAGATTGACGAAGCGAGCAGTGTGAAACAAGAAGATACCGAGGAACAAACAAAGATGACGTTTATTAAAGAGGAGAGTGGAGACATGAAAATTGAAGAAACATTCAGTGTGAAACAAGAAGAAACTGAGACACAATCAGGTTGGTTTCATTCTTAAAGCTGAACTCAGTCGTTTGATCTTTCATAAAATGTCCAGCTGTACAGAAATTAATCCTATTTTTGAATAATGTCATTCAGGTATCTTGATTAAAGCATTTTTTTTTTTTTTTTGCATGGAGCGGTTTGCTTCAAGTGGTCAGACATGTTGAGGTCATACCAGGCAAATTTTGTGTAACATTAAATCCAATATCAACTTCTGAATTGGAAACCATGAAAAACAATAATTTCTATCACTTAGCCTAACTATACAAAAGGCAACGTATCAGGCAACGCATAGCCTATTAATTATATTCACTGCATGTATGTTCGGTATATAACAAAACTAAATATAAAACACAACCCTGCCTCTTTTCGTTTAAATTTTAAAATATGAAACATATTCCAGGTAATATGTAATGTATTGCATATTGCATTGGTACAAATGTTGCAATAAACAACATTATAGATATATATATAAGATAGATCTTGTAATAAAATAAAAAATAACTATCTCTTAAAAACTATCTCTTTTTGTTGAATTTCAGTTTTATCAATAATAGCCATTATACAAGTATAAGTAAAAGGTACAAAAACAGTAAAGCTTTAATAACATAAAGCAAACAATTCCGTCAAATATACAAATTCAGCGCTCAAATATATGAAGCTTCACTTAGCCTTCTGCCAAAACTATTGGCCAGGGAACGAATTATAGATTCACGAGACCAAAGATCGCCTGTTAGGTCCACACAAGACGAATTATATATCATGTTTCATCACTACAAATACGCCAGAGTCAGCGGGAAACATCAGAATGACTAGCCGAGGAAAGGCTGTTCCAGGCGGGGTGCACGAGCGACACATTTTGTCTTTGTTTTGGAACACCATTTTGGCTAACATAAAAACATTTTTTTTTTTTTTTTCAGGGGGCTTTATGATTGTTATCAGCAGAAATAAGAAAGAGACAGACACGCTTAAATTTGATGCTTGTCATATTTGAGGGGTGACAGGATTCTTCAAATCCTTGATTTGATTACATTTTTTATTCTAAGGTTCGATTTTCGATTTCTACTTTATTTTTAAAGCCGAAACCGGCCAATCAGGATGCTCTCTGTCTTACATGCGCTTCGTTAGGGACATTAGGTCTCTTGCTCTCTCCCTCTCTGCCGTGCGTGCAATACGGTTTGGAGCACAGTTTTTTCTGTCTCAGCATGCACGCTCGCTAGGGGTTTCACAACTACTGATTTTTGCTAGTCGACTAGTTTTGCATAACAGTCGACGACTAGTCGACTAGTCGTTAAATGGTTTATTCTAGGGGTGTGCGACATCACGAATAGTAAATGTCTCCACGATCTGCTTTTGAAGAAATAGGGTAGTATCGTGTTACAGTGCATTCTATCAGTTCTGGCGCCTCTGTCTCAACTGTACAACGCGACGTAGCCTACACATCACACGTTAAGGAATAGGTACGGGACACTGCAATTCACAAAAGTTAATTGTTTGCATAAGCCTTGCCGGTTAAACATTTAATTCACGCGCTGTTCTAACGTGCGCTTTCCTGAGCGCGCGGCATATCCCCGACGCTCACAGGCATTAGAAACCTGTCAAACAGCGCCTGAATACTGGACTAAGTTATCTTTCAAGTCTTATTGTGCTAATACTGTTAAATACACACAATGTTTACATAAACAGAATTGGCTATGTCTAAAGTGAAAGCAAACATTTGAGAGAAAATCTGGTGTAATATGCGTCTATATTAA